ACACACACTGCTAGGGCTTCGTCTCAGCTTCGTGTTCATTGCAACATTTGCAGCGACAACAAATATATACATATGTATATATGTATGTATATGTATAAAAAAAAAAGTCGTCAGACAATGAAAAATGCTTTCGATAAGCCTATATGAGATAGTCACGATCCTATTTGTAGGTTGAATCTCTCTTTCCATCTCCATTTCGATCTCCCTCTCTCCAGTTCTCTCTCTCTCTCTCGCCCTCTATAAATAATTGAGAAATATTTTTACTTGGAATTTTCTTTGAGGCCAAATGTGAGCAGGTGATATTTGAAAATATAATAAATGGGTTTAATATGTGAAGATCCATTTCGTTGTTTGATTTTATGCCGCATCACTTGAGCAACAGTCTAGCACAAGTGTTAAATCAAATAGCATCAAGAGGACCTCAAAATTATATGAGAATGCTGAAAGTTCTAAATCACACTTTAGAAGAATTTCCATTTAATTCAAATTAATTTGCATATCTGAGTCCAATTCAATTGACTTTTAGAATCAATGCTTGAGCTAACTATTTATATAAATTGTTTTTATTCGTTTGTTTTTTATCTATTTTTATTTTATTTATTTTTTTTTTTATTTAACTATTTATTTTTTTTATTTAACTATTTATTTTTTTTATTTAACTATTTATTTTTTTTTTATTTAACTATTTATTTTTTTTATTTTTTTATTTTAATTTTTTTTTTTTGCTTTCTTGTTGCTGCTTAAAAAAATTTTATAAATAATAATAATAAAAATAAATTTTTTTATAAAAATTTTGTTATTAATTTATTATGAACAACAAGTTGTTTTATATGCAAATGTTTGTACTTCAATTTATATAGATTTGCAAATATAATAAAAATAGTAATTTATAATATTTCAAATATTTATCATTATTAATTTTGACTAAATTTAGTAATTTTGTATGCACTTTTCTTGAACTAACCATTCACTAACTAAGTTATCTAAATTTTCTCATTTCGATAATATATTGTCGATTAAAACATGTGTATTACAAGCTGATGACACAACTAACAGAGCCCCCTGCCCAATGGCCAATGCCTCGTCATGTTCATCTTCATCTATAGCCAGTTTTGCGCAGATCCCCTCCAGCCCCCGTCCAACAGATGCAAGATGAAGAAAACAACAAACAATAAACAAGTATTTTGCAAAAAATAAAAATAAAATACAACAACGCAAAACATTGAGAAAACGGCAAATTATAAAAGCAAAACGCAAAAAAAGCTTCGGGCAAAAAAAGGCAACAACAAAATGCAAAAAGAGCGCAATATAATAAACAACTACAAAAAGAGCCAACCAAAAGAAAGTCGCAAAACAATGAACAAATTGTAACAGGTAAATTGAAACAGCCAGCCAAAGCAAAATAATACAACAAAGCTGCTAAAGCACATTAGCAACAACAACAACAGCAACACGGACAGCTAGACTCACACACATACACGCTCACATAAATATCAATGAACCCCAAAGCCGTCGCTGCCGGTACCGCCGTCGCGGCCGCAGTCACCGTAGCAAACGCAAAAACATTGGGGCTTAGACCCCCAAGCGACATCGTCACCTGACCGACCGAACGGCCGCCCCTTCTCTTCGGTCTAGGAGCCGACCACGTACTACCAACAGATTTTGCGCCACTTTTGACATAATTCAGTTGCTTATGCTCTTTCTTTTCATCTGATACTCTTTCGGTTCTACGCTTTGTGCGCTTGCTTCGTTTTCGTCAAGTTTTTTAAAAGGTTCGGTTCGATGTGTTTTTTTTTTCTTTTTCTTTTGCTTTGAACTTTTCACGTCGGCGCATATCTCAAAAGCACTCAGTACTCAGCGCACAGCGCACTGCGCTACGAAGCGTTGCGCTCTGCTTGCGGCGACTGCGACGTCGCATGTACTAAAAAGTTTTTGTTTGTTGTTGTTGTTCTACGGAGAATGGTAACAGAAAAAGTGGACGCAGAGAACTGCGCCAGCGTTGACGCCAGCTGCGGCAGCAGCAACAGCAGCAGCAGCAGCAGCTCGGTTTTCTGATTGGAATAAAACGGAAGAGCACATTTCATAGTATGCGTGAAGTCGACACACGAGAGAGAGCGCGACACTCATACTCCCCTCTGACAGAGAGCGCAGCAGTATGTGTTCGTTCGTGTATGTGTGTGTCATTGCTGGTGAAAAAGAGAAATAAGTGGCGCGTTTAGTTGGCGCATTTTTTTTACCGCCCAAATTCTATTCAATTGGCGCGAAAAGTGCAATCACACAATATATGTATATATGCGAACTGATTAGAAAGTGGCGGCCAGCCATTAGATGATAACCAATACGAGCTGAAGACTTGTAAAATATGCTGCAGTTACCAATTCCTTTTCCAATTGGGGTCAACTCAATGGGTATGCAACAGTAACAACAAAAATATGCAGCAGTTCACAGTTCAGTGAACCTAGTTTAAATCCTAATTGGCATCCAAAAACAACTCATTCCAATTGGCAACCTGCTTATTCGTATGCATATTAACATCTTCCAACCAGAATGTAACGGTTACCGTTGTCAGTAATGGACCGACCGCCAACGTGCAAATTCTAATACGACGAAAATTTGGCAATCGTCTCCAACTAATGAATATATATGTACTTCTTTTTAATGTGTGACTGCCTTGATACCTTGTAGTTGTAGCAAAAAATGCAAAGACACGACGGCACACTCGCACACACAGTTAACACTCTCGCACACATTCGCAGCATTCGCTTATATCTCACACTTGTCACACGCGTAATTTTTTACATATATCAAATTTTTGCTCATCCAATCCGTTATCATTTGGGGCTTGTTATACTTATTCCTTTACCTGTAATTTGCTGAATGCTAAATGCCAGAAGATTTAGAATTGGCAATAGAATTTATATACTATTTGCACATGAAAAAATCTATATTTTTACTTTTTTTATTATATATACGTCGTCTCACACGCCGGCCACGAACAGCAGCAGCTGAGCAGTGATCGTTCTAAACACAGTGCTCGAAGCTAACCCAAAGAGCGAACGAACAATCGAGCGAGCGTTGGCGTCGGCGTCGGCGTCGATTTCGACGTCGACGTCGACGTCAGAAAACGAATCGAGAGTCATCAGCCAGTTACACACATGCTGAGTATATTCCTATGAATATATATATATGTATACATATGTGTATATGTATGTGCAAGTCAAACGAGCAGAGCACATCCAGCGCCAATAAAATGCAACAAACACACGGCTACCAGTTGTAGCTGTTGTTCTTTTTGGTAGACTAACTGACATTTAGCAAAGAGAGCGACACACAGACAGAATGAGAGAAAGAGAGCGAGCGGCAAAAGCACGCATCTGGCGCGCGAATAAAAATTATTGCCAGCCAGGCAGGGGCGAATTTCTGTGGAATGCGTGTGGCTCAACGACTGCAGGAGCTGCCAGACCCCCGCAACGTCCCTCAGCAAAAGTCAATGCTGGAGCCTGTTGCCATTTTACTGAATGGAGCTGAAACAAGTGACGCTCCTTGTGAACCGCCAACTAGCAGGCAGTGTGTGACAAATGTGTACATGTGTATGTGAGCTACAGCTGTTTTCTGGCGCTCGTTTAACGGACGTTGTGCGCGCTACAGCTGTTAAAGCTGCCACCTGGGCTGCGGAAGATACGACATTTAG